TGAGTAAGGATATCTACGATAGTATATTTTATTATGAAGATGATGTGTGGAATTATTTGTTTACTAGATTCAAAGTAAACAATATGTCGAGGAGGTATCAACTTGAACAAGTTGTGATGACTCTTAAACAATTACAACTTGATTTATCCACTTACTACATGAAGAATAAGACATTGTGGGAGCAGTTGTCTAACACAAAGACTCGTAGTGTGAAGAGGTGTGACTATGATCATGTTAAAGAGTTGCTTGAAGAGGCAGATACAAGTCGTATCATACAATTCCTTATGGGTTTAAGTGATGACTTCAACAATATCAGGAGCAACGTACTGAACATGAAGCCTAGGCCAGTGGCTAGTGGGAGTATCTTCAAGACATATCTCAACTACCTCAGCTTTTTAATCTCAAGCTATGCTCCCGTATCAGAATTCAATCTTGATGGCTCAAGGAAAGTTTCAGAAACCAAAATGCTCTCATTGTTCTCGCATTGGTCACATAGTAGATAAGTGTTATCAGATTCATGGTTATCCACCTGGTCATCCGAAGGCAAAGAAGAACAATTATGTTTGCAACATACACTTAGCAAGTACTGGTCATCTTGAAGAGCAACAGAATCAGTGTGTGGCTACAGTGAATGATGATATGATTAAAGAACAACTTCATTAAATGATCTCTTATCTAAGCACCAAACTTCGGTCTCCCATTATCACTTCTTGTCCTGAGAAAGCTATAGCTTTGACTTAAACATTTGTACCTTCTATCTCACAGATATCTTGTACATTCCTTTCTTTATATGACTTTACTTTCTATGACTTGTTAACTTCCTCTTTACCTCATGAAACTGAGTTGTCTTTTAGAGCTTTAGGTCATAGATTCAGGGGCTAATCATCATGTTACTCATGAAAGGGGTCTTTACAAGGATTATAAAGTCTTAGTTAATACTTTTGTTAGGTTACCTAATGGTCATACAGTTAAGATAGAGGGGACTGGTTACATTCAACTTACAGATGCTTTATCTCTACATAATGTGTTACATATTCCTGAGTTTAAAATTAACTTGTTGAGTGTTAGTGTTATTACTAGATCTTTGAACTCTCAAGTTAGTTTTACATGTGATGAATGCATGATACATGCACTTACTCATGACCTAAAGATTAGAAACAAAAGTCAAGTTGCAAATCTATATGTTCTGAATTTGGATAAGTCTCTTGTGCATGTGTCTCATTCATCTATATCTGGTAAGTCTATTTGTTTTATCTCACAAAAAACTCAGATTTATGGCATAAAAGATTAAGGCATCCATCTCTTGCTAAAATATAATCTCTTTCAGATGTATTGTTGTTATCAAAATCTAAAATCAATAAAAATCATAGTCATTGTCACATTTATCATTTATCTAAACAGAAGCATTTACCTTTTAAATCATCAAATCATAAGCGTACCAAACCTTTTGAATTGGTTCATATAGATACATGGGGCCTTTTTTTGTTCCAACTGTTGATGGTTATAGATATTTCTTGACAATTGTTGATGATTTTAGTAGATCAACATGATTATACACGCTTAAACAAAAATCTAATGTTTTACAAGTGTTTCCTGGTTTTGTTAAAATGATTGAAACTCAATATAATTCCAAAGTTTGTTCTGTGACATCTGATAATGCACATGAATTGAAATTTACTGATTTTTATATGCAAAATGGAATCAAGTCTTTTCATTCCTGTCCTGAAACTCCTGAAAAAAAAAATTTGTTGTAGAGAGAAAGGATTTACACATGTTGAATGTGGCTAGGGCTCTTATGTTTCAATATGAGGTTCCTTTAGAGTATTGGGGTGATTGTTTCTTAGCAGCTGCTTTTCTTATCAATAGATTACCTTCCCATTTCATAGATAACAAAACTCTATATGAAAGATTAACATCTACAGTCCCAGATTATCATAGTTTAAAAGCTTTTGGTTGCGTATGTTACTGTTCTACTACTCCTAAGTCTAAAACTAAGTTTGATCCTAGAGCTAAGGCTTGTATTTTTCTAGGTTATCCTTTAGGTTTTAAAAGTTACAAGCTATTAGATATAGATACATACTTAGTTTCTATTTCCAGACATGTCGTTTTCTGTGAAGATATCTTTTACTTAGTTTCTATTTCCAGACATGTCATTTTCTGTGAAGATATCTTTCCTTTTGCATCATCGAATATCTCGGATGATGCAAAGACATTCTTTCCTCATATTTCTCTTCCTGCACAAATCAATGATGAACATATGCCTTTAATGCAATCATCTTCTGATGCTCCTCACAATCATGATGAGTCATCTTCTATTGTTTCTGTTCCTTCTGAACTTAAAGCACAATCCTTCCATTTGCAGGATTGTCATTCTTATACTAATAATTCTCCTATTATAAGTAAGCAAAAAAGAACTTTTCCTTATCCTTTAGCAAATTATATCTCTTGTTCAAATATATCTCAGCCCTTTTGTGACTTCATTAATATCATTACAAAAACTACTATACCAACAAAATATTCAAAACGTAGGTTTGACAAAGGCTTGGGTTGATGTTGTGGGAAAGGAGATTATGCTTGTATAAGGACTGAAACTTGGAGTGTTTGTGATTTACCCCAAGATAAGGTTGATGTAGGTTAAAAATGGGTTTTCACAATTAAATATCATGCTGATGGGAGCATTGAACGTTTTAAAGAAAGGCTGGTGGCTAAAGGGTATACTCAACGAGAGGGAACTGATTTCACTGATACATTTTCTCCTATAGCAAAAATGGCAACAATGAAGATGATTCTTTCCCTCGCACCTAAGAGGCAATGGTCCTTACATCAATTGGACATTTCTAATGCATTTTTGAATGGTGACCTTGATGAGGAATTTTTTCTGAAGTTACCACCAGGCTATGCAGAGATCATGGGAGTAGAAGTTTCTTCAAATGCAGTTTGTAGATTGCATAAGTCAATCTATGGTTTGAAACAGGCCTCAAGACAATGGTTTCCCAAGTTCAAGACCACTCTGTTGAGTTTTGGGTTTGAAACATGTCATGGTGATCACACTTTTTTTTCTTAAAGCATCTGGTGATTATTATTTGGTGGTTCTGGTTTATGTTGATGACATACTAATTGCGAGTACTGATGATGCATCATCCTACAATCTCAAAGAATATTTGAGTTCTTGTTTTTGGTTAAGGGATTTAGGTCCTCCAAAATTCTTCTTAGGTATTGAAATCGCAAGGAATGAAGAAGGGATCTCCCTCACATAAAGAAAATATGTTCTTGCCTTGTTTGAGGCTATTGGTTTTTCATATTGTAAGCCTTCTCCTATACCAATGAAGCCTGATCAGAAATTGTCTCTTACTGATGGTGAGCCACTTGTAGATTTCAAGCAGTACATCAAATTGATTGGTAAGCTACAATATTTGGTTGTTATAAGGCTAGACATAGCTTTTTATGTGGGTAAACTAGCTCAGTACTCCTTTGCTCCAACACAAATTCATCTTCAAGCTGGGCACAAAGTTTTACGTTATCTAAAAAGTACTATTGGGAAAGGCTTATTCTATGGAAAAGATGATGATTTCTCTGTCAGAGGATTCTATGATGCAGACTGGAGTGCCTATATTGATGATAGAAGACCAGTAACAAGTTTTGTAATCTTTATTGGTCAATCTTTGGTCTCTTGGAAATCAAAGAAACAATAGGTAGTTTCCATGAGTTATGCAGAGTCTGAATACAGAGCTATGAGTATGGCTACTAAGGAGTTGATTTGGTACACTTACATTCTCATAGCTCTTCGGGTACCATTCTCTCTCCTGACTTACTTGTATTGTGATAATACTTATGCTATTTACATTTCCAGTAATTCGGTTTATCATGAGAGAACAAAACATATTGAGTCACAAAGTTAGAGAAGCCATAGAAGTTGGTGTTATCAAGACTATGTTTGTTAGCACCGACAACCAACTTGCAGATATTCTTACCAAAGCTTTGCATCCAGCTCCATTTAGAGAAAAACTAAGCAAGATGGGAGTTTTCAACATATACTCGTCTCCATCTTGAGGGGTGTATTAGAGTAGCTTGATTAATTCTTTTGGTTAAGTTAATTGACATTTGATTCCGGTTTAGATTAGATCCGGTTTATAGTAATTTGTTGTATATAAACATACATTGTAAAGTTTGTTACGATTGAGAAATAAGAAATCATTTCACAAATCATCTTTGCTCATGAACTCTATCATGTTATCATCCTCTTCTTCGATGGTTTATAGTCTTAGTTGCTGTCGTTCACCTTTATTAAGACGTCTAGGTGTAATTCATCTACTTTCGAGTTTTTCTCAGTTTTTCATGCTTTTCCCAAGCATCGTTTTGTCTCTCTAATTCTCGTTGTACTTTTATACATAGGCGTAATGTTTAGGCGCATTCAACTCACTGAATGACGTAATTTCTTACTAATATAACAAATCTGAAAAGGGCCGGGTAAATAGATTGGTTCACAAGTTCGCATTCCTCAATGTGATACCTTCGCTCTCATTAAGGAAAATAAGCACACATTAATTGGTAGAGTCACTTACCCTAATGTTCATAAGCCAAGAGCTATTTTTCATTACATGCCTCTTCATTAGAATCTTGAAAACGGAGTTGTAGGCTAAGACTTAGGCATTAAATGCTTCTAGTTTTTAAATGGTACTAAATAAGGTCTATAACACTATAAAAATCGGATGCTCATCCTCATCGGTAATCTTAAACTCAGTCCCAACTTTTATCACCTTTTGGGTAAAGACACATTGTATACCGCTATGCTTTTGAGTAACCAAACTATCCAAACTATTAGCAAGAAACTTTATATTTCTACAAAAGATGCATCCAAAGTAGAATTAGGTTCTGGTTCATGGTTTTGAGGCTCGGGAAAAGGAGATCAAAAGCAAAATCCAAAACTTTTGGGTAGTGCCTTGCAATTTCAGGATTATGGGGACCAAATTTGTAGTCTCTGAAAATGTAGGACCGAACTATCAACAATGAAGAAATTACGGAGACTGGGGAACATGTACGAGTTGGAGAAGAAGCCATTGAAAAACAGAAAAAAAGAGAGCCTTTTTGAAAATCAAATGCTTTGATCAGATTCGTTAATGGCGACTCAGATCTGAAGATAATCTCGTCTTCATATCTGGTGGGCAAATCTCAAAGCTTTTCGATTTCGGAGGTAGAAGAAATTGAAGGAACCCAAATGGATGATTTCACAGGATTGTTAGCGAGAGACTTTGGATTGAAACCTCAGGGCAAATCAGCTCCCATGGCTTCTCAATCGAACTCTTCTGCCTCTGATTTCAACAGTTTCGCTTCTTCTTATAACTTCGCCACCGGTAAAAAGTCCGATTCTTCGCCGGTGTTTGACGATCTTGGGCGCGATGGTGATGATCTTCTCTTCAAAGATGTGTTTAGTGCTCCTCCACCAAAGTACGGATCCTCTTCTGGTGATTCTCGTTCTCCATCTGCTCCGGCCTTTGACTATGATGCTATGTTTAAAGAACCCAAATCCAAATCAGCCTCCATGCCTGTCTTTGACAAGCCGGTGTATGATGATGAGGATGTGTTTGAGTCTATTCCTGAGCTCAAAATCCCTTCCACTTCTTCTCAATCAGCTAGGTTTGAGAATGTTTTCTCTTCCATGAGCTCACCTGCAAAGCACAGGAAACAGGACAGTTCTCCCTTTGATGATCTCATGGGCAACAATACGGGGAAAAGAGAGACTGGGAGTGACAGAGAGAGCAAGGGTAGCTCTGTTTTTGATGATTTGATTCCTGGCTTTGGTCGCACTAGCTCTCCTCCACCTAAACGGTAATAATATTCACTCTTCTCCATCTTCTTCTTCATCTGTGGTTATTAGTTAGGGTCACTGGTCTTCAAATTTGGAACTTTCTTGCGTGAAATGACTCTATGGTTTAGATCTTGGAGCATGAAATGTAGCATGAACTATATTGGTTCTTAATGGAGACCTGTTCTCTTATAAGTGTACTCTGAAACTTCAAAGAGAGCTGTTTGATTGCCGGGTTTGGTCCCCCTACTAAACAGTCATAGCTACTCTTCTTGGTTGCGTGATATGACTTAGAGTCATCATTCTTTTATAATGGTAGTGCAATGGAGCATAAACTATAATAGCGCTTCTCTGAAACTCTCGGAAACACTCCAAAATCTCCATAAAGGAGCCATCAGACTTACAGAAATGTAGCATGAACGATATTAGTACCTATTGGGGAGCTGTTAGCTTGCATAAAAATTTCTCTTATGTGTACTCTCTGAAACTTGCTGAGAAAATCTCCAAAAGCTTGAACCTTTTGTGTGTCATCCATATGCAAATAATTATCTTCATCTGTGTGGCTGGGGGTCATTGCTTCAAATTTGTTTTTCCTAGAGGTTAGAGCCATCACAATTACATAATGAAATTTAGCTAAGCGCTTTCGGAGAGCTGTTTGATTGCCTCTCTTATGTGTTCTCTGTAAAACTTACTGAAAAAATCTCCTAATGCTTGAACGTTTTGTTTGTTATTCAAATGCAAAGTTTCATTTTGGCTTTTTTTTTGGTATAGGCATAGTTTTCTATTATTTGAAAGATGCTTGAACGTTTTTTTGGTTTAGGCATAGTTTTCTATCATTTGAAAGATGCTCTACTTTTCTTGCACAGGTCTACTTCAGAGACCAGTCAATCCCAGAAACCTTACCAGCCTACTAAGACATCTTCCAATCTTGTGGAAGAAGACCCATTTGTAGTCTTGGAGGAGTCTGCGTCAACCCCTAGAGGGTTCAATGATCCATTGGAGGATCTTGGAAAATATAATAGCTCCAGCAGCAGAAAAACTGATCATCCAACTGTCCATGGAGGAGTATTTGTTGATATTGACCCCCTCGATAGTCTTGGGAAACCAGGGCCAGATATGAATAGTAGATATGAGAGTCATTTAAGACCGCCAGGAAACATCAGTGGCTCCCAGTCACCAGTAAAAAGTTCGAGGAGTAACCATTCCAAGAAAGTTTCATTTGATGATGTTTCAGAGCCGCAAAATACAAGTACTCCGCCACCTACCAATACAGAAGGAAGTTTTGAGTCATCTGATGATGTGTGGCTTACTGTATCTGAGATCCCCCTCTTTACACAACCTACGAGTGCTCCACCACCTGCGAGACCTCCACCACCGAGACCTACACGTCCTGTAAAAAAGAAGGTTAACGAGCCTTCTTTATCAAGCTCCACTAACCACCACTCTCACTTTCCTAGCCCAGCTAGAGCTTCTGTAAATAGCCCGACAGCATCTCAAATGGATGAACTCGATGACTTTTCTATGGGAAGAAATCAGACCGCTGCTAATGGACAACCTCCCTCTGGTGAAGATTCTGATGTTTTCTCTACTGCTGCTGCATCAGCTGCTGCCATGAAGGATGCCATGGATAAAGCAGAAGCAAAGTTTAGGCATGCTAAGGAAAGGAGAGAGAAAGAAAATTTAAAGGCAAGTAGAAGTAGAGAAGGAGATCACACGGAGAATCATGATTCTCGAGAAAGGGAACTTAGAGAAAAGCAAGTGAGATTGGAGCGTGAAAGAGCAGAGATGGAAAAAGCCCAGGAGAAGGAGAGAGAGGAGAGAGAGAGAGAACAGAAAAGAAATGAGAGAGAAAGGGAAAGACTGCTGGCAAGGCAAGCGGTAGAGAGGGCTACAAGGGAAGCACGCGAAAGAGCAGCCACTGAAGCTCATGCGAAAGTTCAAAGAGCTGCTGTTGGGAAGGCTTCCGATGCCCGAGAGCGTGCTGAACGAGCAGCGGTTCAAAGAGCCCATGCTGAAGCACGTGAAAGGGCAGCTGCAGGGGCACGGGAAAAAGCTGAGAAAGCTGCAGCAGAAGCTAGAGAAAGGGCGAATAATGAAGCGCGGGAGAAGGAAGCAAGGGTTAGGGCAGAACGAGCTGCTGTGGAAAGGGCAGCTGCTGAGGCACGTGGAAGGGCAGCTACCCAAGCTAAAGCTAAGCAGCAGCAAGAAAATAACAATGATCTTGACTCCTTCTTTAACTCGGTTTCTAGACCAAGCAGTGCTCCACGTCAGAGAACTAACCCTCCGGTGAGCTGGGTTTATCTACTTCTGTTCTGCTTTAAGTCCTTTTTCGGATGATTTACCTTATTCTATAACTCTGGTTGTGTTTCAGGATCCTTTCCAGGATTCATGGAACAAAGGAGGATCTTTTGAATCTAGCAAGGCGTCTTCGCGAGTTCCTTCTGGAGCAACAGAGAACTTGAGAAAGACCTCTTCAGCAACAAACATTGTTGATGATCTCAGTTCAATATTTGGAGGTACTGCAGTTTTTGAGGTTAATCCATTATAGTAGGATAGTATGTTCTTGTCTTTTAATTTAATCACCTACTGAAACCACTTGTGTTGTATAGCTCCTGCTTCCCAACCTGGTGGGTTTCAAGATGTGGATGGCGAAACTGAAGAGAGACGACGTGCCAGGCTGGAACGCCACCAGAGGACACAGGAGCGGGCTGTATGTATCATTAGAGCTTTTCTTTTATGGGTATTGACAGAAGATCACCAGTATGTTTTCTAACATGATTTTTTTGCTCAATCAGGCGAAAGCACTTGCTGAGAAAAATGAACGTGATCTTCAAGTACAAAGAGAACAAGCTGAGAAAGATGTAAGTTTCCTTACTACGTGATTTAGCTTGAAATTTTTAACATGTACTTTCGTCCTTCTCCCTCTGTTGTGCCCATCTCAAATCATGTTGCTTTGTTGAGACATATAAGTCTGCCGCCTCTTGCAGCCAGTAGTGTAAAATACATGGTCTCATCATCCTTAAACCTGACTCTGTCTTTTTTTTTTTTAATCACCTAATTATCTTGTGTTACAGAGGATTGGCGGGACCCTGGATATTGAGATAAGACGTTGGGGTGCGGGGAAGGAGGGAAACTTGCGTGCTCTGCTTTCAACACTACAATATGTATGTCTTAATGTCCGCTTTCTTTATTAATTTTACCTCTGATGTTCATTTTTACATTCGATGTGATCCAAAGTTTCTTCTGATGTTGCTGTGCAAATGAGCAGGTTCTTTGGCCAGAATGTGGCTGGCAGCCAGTTTCATTGACCGATTTAATTACCGGTGCATCTGTCAAGAAAGTTTACAGGAAGGCTACTCTCTGTATACATCCTGACAAAGTTCAGCAGAAAGGCGCTAATCTCCAGCAGAAATACATTGCTGAGAAAGTTTTCGACATGCTCAAAGTAAGTCATCGATCAATTTTCTAAAACTAAATCCATCACAGCTACTCTAGTTGACCCGAACGAAACAAATGAGATTGCATTTCTTCATGGGTAACTAGAACCGCACAAATGCATATCTGCTGGCTTCATCTCTTTACTCATGACAATAAACAGGAAGCATGGAACAAGTTCAACTCCGAAGAACTCTTTTGAAAAAATCTGGGACTATGTTTCTGAGAATATGTTATTCGTCAGTCGCCCAAAAGATGAAGCATGTGGCATTCATTATAAAAGCCGAAAATGGTGCCCAAGTTTGAAGCAGAGAGTTGTCGATAGAGTGTATTCCCAAGATTGATGACCCAGCACTGCATCATCATATACCACGCAGCAAGTGGGTATTCTTATTTTTTGTTGCAAAATTTTCCTTCTCATTACCCTTCTTTAAGAGTATGATGTCAGATGTATTGATGTTGATTTCTGTATCAAAACACAATACTTGAGATTGAGAGCTGTGTATTGTTGTTTCCAAACTATTTATATATATGCATATAACATTCTTTTTGGCACAATGCGACTCCGTTGGCGAACCTAGCGTAGCTTTTTCGATCCATCATGGTCTGAGTTTAGTATAATCAGGCTAGATGGAGTGTTTATGTATTCCGTCAGTCATACATCTTCAGTTCTTAACAGAGAAATTAGACAATTTGATATGTTTATTGTGAATTAGTGATATCAGTATCAGTGTCTCACAATTTGAACTAGTAAAACAGAGATCCCATCCAGTTTAGAAATCGTTATATCCAAAATGGTACTAATGTCTATATTGAGTTATTGATCATTTGTCCGAGTTGCAGCGACTACAACTATGTATTCTCTCGAAACGTTCACAGTAACAAATTGGTAGATGTCATCAAAATTTCATTTTGGTATGGTTAATAAGAAGAATGTTTCTAAAGCCAAATTAGGTACATCTGCAAGGCTCCACCGTACCTAAGTTATATACAGGAAAAATTATGTGTACCCCATCTTTTTAAGTTAAGAACTTATACAACAACCTCAAAGGTATTACAAGCTTCACATGTTATGTACAACGCCTTCAAATTATAGTTAGTCTGAACACTGAACTCGGGTTTCAATCTGCATCCTCTTTCGAGGTGTTCAGCGTGAGCTTCTGCTAACCGTTCTTGCAGAATGTCCAGATTAACCTGATGCAAAGAATGTAACCCGAGAATAAAACTCAAGGACAAGTCCAGTGACTGAGAGTTACAAAGAGGAGATAAAGGACCAAAGAATCTGCACCTCTTCGCCTTTGTTCAGCTGCATTTTACATATGTTGCAATAGATGTGTCGGTGATTCTCCATAAGCTCACCTTTCTTGCATATCGGACACCATATCTGTTTTTGCTCCTGTAAAAACATATCAAACCATTTAACTGGTTTCTGAGAAAAACAAGGCTGCTCTGTGAAACTAGAACCTACCTCCTCACTGTTTAAACACATATTCTGAGAAACCAAAGTGGCTAAGTAATCATCTTCCTCGTCTTCCCATGTTTCGATCTTAACATATGATCCTGGAAGCAGCACCACAAGACACATCAATACTCATAGTTCCTTCTCAACGCAAATCCCACAGACGAAAAAAAACCAAATCGTATACCGTTTACAGTAGTCTCTGATAACAAATCCTTATAAAAAATCTGTTGCATTTCCAACAATATCTCTTCACTATCACCTTCATAAACACCTTTAACACCTTCCTCATATTCCCATAATATATCATCACAATCCTTAGTTACATTCTCATTCCTATCCTCAAACTTTTTCAACTCATCAGTCACAATATCATGAAAAGCAGAATTGATAATCTCCTGAATCAACAAAAAAAAAAAAAAACCTAAACTTCAACAACATAGCTAAAAAAAGCAAGTCCTTTTCTCCATTACAGAGACTACAAAATGAGAAAAAAAATCAAACCTTTTGATCTGAAGATTGACAATCAGAAAGCCTCAGCTTCCATAGCAAACGATTCCTATCTTCTCTAACTCTTCTGAAACAATTCTCTCTAAACTGTAAATACACACTTCAGAGACTCAATGATCTAAGAACCCAAATCCAGAACAATCTTATCAAACAAAGATTGAGAACGTATCTGAAAAACAAAACCAGAAATTGAAATTGAACCTTTTGTTTCCTTATAGAGTAATCGAACTCAGATTGGGATTTCACAGAGGTTCGTTTCGGAATCGTCGAAGCTGGTTTCGTCAAATTCTCCATTGGAGAAGAAGATGATTTGATTCAAGAGACCTTATGCGAGGTTATATACAATGAAGATCCGGTTCGATTTTGAAATAACCGGAATTTAAACCCGGTTATTGATTTTTATCCCGGAGAAACCCTAATGAGGGAATTGTGAAACGACGACGTGTTGTGAATAGAGATATTTTTAGCATTTTACGAGAAAAATAAAAAAAATATCCGTAAAACCCCAGAGACACTGAGAAAACAAAGGGAAGATGATAAAAAACCCAAAACCCTACTCTTTGTAAAATCTTACTCTTCGTCTTCTTCTTCTTCTTCTTCTTCTTCTACCTTCTTCTTCCATTTCTCTGAACTTGTTTCTGTCTCTGTAAGTTTCCATGGCTTGTTGATTTTTTCTGGTTTTGTTTGTGTAGTGAGTGTTGTTTAGTTCAGTAATCATCATCATCGTCATTTCGTTGTGTGTTTTTTTAATCAATTTCCATGAGACTGAGACTTGGGTTTCTTCAATTCTAATGGTTTTTGTGATTTCGTTTGCTCTTTGCTTCTAATTTCACTGTTAGTGTTGTGTATCACTTCTTAGTGTTCGCCATTTTTACAGTTCTAAGAAAGCTACTATGGTGATTGTTTTTGATTTGCTTCCATCGGATGCGTTTTTTTGGGTTGAATCCTTTGTTTTGTTGTGAATTTTGGATTTGTTGTGTTTAGAGTTAAGTGTGAGATCAAGGTGGTGATCACATCTTCTTGTTGGTCTGATGATGGAGATAATTGATTTGTTTATGTTGCAGAAATGTTGGAGAAGGGTTTGACTATTATGAGCTTTGTTTTGATACCTTGAGAGTACGAGATCTCTGTTTTAAGTAGAAATGAAGAGGAAATCGCCAGAACAAGTTCAAGCTCTTGAGGCTTTTTATTTGGGTACGAGTTTTTGTTTGTTTGTTTTAGTATGTATATGAAAAGCTAGCTCAAGAGGCCATTTCTGACAGAAATGATCAACACGTATAGTCTAACATGTAAAATTCAGAATTGGCGTCTTGTGCTAGCTTTTTGTGTATGATATACCTTGGGTCTATATCACTTTTTTCTGTCTTTGATGGTTTTCATTTATAAATGATAGCAGAGAAAATGTATCCGACTTCTAGGGAAATGGAGGACTTGGGCAAGTCTTTGGGGTTAACAGTGAAGGAAGTAAGTGGATGGTTCAAGAGGAGAAGAAGTAGAGGGAAAGGCGTGAAATCACTGGCGGATAATGGGGTGGGCACAGAGAATCCTCAGTCATACAATCCATCTCGTATAAGGAGTTCCACATCTTCCAGATGCGATCTTATAGCGGGTGTTGAGAAAAGATGTAATGTTGGGATAAAGAAGGCCAATTGCCAAGGGTTATTAACTTCACAGCACATTTTGGCTAAGATCTTTCGAAAGGATGGTCCTTCGCTTGGTTCTGAATTTGACCATCTCCCGTCTGGAGCACGCAAAGGTATATTTGCCTTTTTGCCTACACTGCAAGATAAATCATATCACACCCTGTAGAGAAGGCTTGGATATCTGAAAATTTGACTTTTAAAACCAACGCTTTATACCAGTGCAATGAAGTTAGTGCTTGCTTAGTAGTTTTGATTTTTCTTATGAGAAACATCTATGACTAGACAATTGGACCCCGAATGATGGCAGACTTGATTTTTGCATGACTTCAAAATTTTGATTCAGATTTGTTTAATTCTTATGTGGAATTCTTTCCCTTCTGATAGCTTCTTGGCTGGGCACTTCATCTGTTGATCAACAGAAACAGAGAATGGCAAGAAAGAGAAAGGTAGTAGATATATCTTATGTGTTGTTTCGTAAGGTGTTTTTACCTGGGTATGCTAAGTCACATAGTCCCTGATCTTAATTTTCTTTAGATTTCTGAGCTGATGGATCATACCAGACCAGATTGCATTCGAGAGAAGACTGTGAAGAAACATGGTATTGGAAAGGGTTTGATGACAGTATGGCGGGTAATGAATCCAAACAGGAGGAATGTATCTCCTTGCGTTGATTTATTGGATGCAAGAGCTACATTACCTCAAAGCTCAGCACGTAAACCCCCACATCGAAAGAAAAAGCAAAAACAATTAGCATCAATACTGGTATTTATAGCCTACTTTATCTTTCATAATTATGATTCATTCTCTTTCTGCTGCCTTTTTCTCTTAAATTTCTTGCTAACTGCAATTTTCTTTCTTCAGAAGCAAAAACTGTTGCAGAAGAGGTCGACAGAAAAGAAGAGGTGTTCTATAAATCGAGAGGTAACTTGATCTTTATTTGGAACTTTTGATTCATTATAGTCACATGGAAAGTGCAAACAAAGATTTGACTCTTGCTATAGGTAACATTAAACAAGGATGAAACTCAAAAGGCATTTAAAGAAAATTGTGAGCTTGCTGCGGACAGGGAGGTATTTAAAGAAACCTGCCAAACAATTTCGATACTAATGGATGACGAAGAATTAGAGATGCGTGAGCGACAGGAGAGAGGAAATCCGTTGACTTGTTCGTGCCATCATCCTAGTAGTGGACCTCGTGGTTGTTTTCTTTGCAAAGGTGTGTATGCCAGTGTTACATGAAAGAGTCTTCATTCATGTTCATTTGTTACATGGCCAGTGCCACGGGGTCCTCTGACAGTTTTTTGTTGTTTCTAGATTTATTGCCCAAGTTTCCCCCAAATTCTGTTCAGATGAGGATGCCTTTTGGTTTGCATCCATGGAATTCGTCTCCAGAGCCTGTTAAGAAGTTGTTTAAGGTGTGTAAACTGTCAAAATTGGTGCTTGACGGTTTCGTAGTGTGTTCATAAATTACCTATCATTTCTGGCTTTCTTGTTAGTGACTCAGTATTCTCTTGGCAGGTTGTCCATTTCCTTTATACTTATTCAGTAACTCTTGATATATGTCCTTTTACACTCGATGAGTTCACACGTGCATTTCACGATAAGGTGATTGCTTTTCTCTGATAACAAATGCTCAGTTTAATACAGTTTTCTATTGTGGAAGGAAATTGTTATTGTATGCTCTGTCAGTCTCACTTTATCCTTCTGAAATATAATGTATATTGTATAACTTTTTTCTGTGCTTGCGTTTAAATCTCAGGATTCCTTTCTCCTTGGTAAAATTCATCTTTCCCTGCTGAAGCTGCTTTTGCTTGATGTTGAAACCGAGCTGCAAAGGGGATCTTTTTCAAACTTGAATATATCATGCAAGTTTCTAGCCCTGCTTCAGTCGGTATGCATTAATGTTGAGCTATTTTTGAACTTGCTAGTTTAATGGAGTTTTAGGATCAACATTAGAAAATTTACAGTAAAATCTTCCCGTCTCCATGGCCCCTTTTTCAGTGTGCTTCCTTTTCTAGTTAATTTTCATAAACGCCTAAAAAAAGAAGCACAGTGGGATATATGTTGACATTTTCCATGATATTTTTCAGGTTGAGAGTCAAATTCTTATTCTTGATATGTGGAAGGATTTATTAAATTCTCTTACGTGGACGGAAATACTGCGCCAGATATTGGTGGCCGCTGGTTATGGTACACTGAAGTGTGCTGTTCAATCAGAAGAACTAAGTAAGGTGCTGATTTTGTGCTCTTGCTGACACATATGATCCATTGACATTGTCTGTCTGCTTTATTGGCTTGGCTATATTTTATTCGAAGACCATGGTTATTCTCTTGTCCATTTTTTCCGAACTATCATGTATTTGTTTTGTTCCTGAAGATAGATCAGTTACATGTTGGGAATTTAAGGCTCTTGCTCAATTTTATTTTGTTATTGATATCCACATGGTTTTCTCGTTTAGTCCCTTATTTTCTTTGCTGACGCAGTGTTGGTTGATGTTACCTTTCTTCTTTCTCCAGGAAAGGAGACTCATGAAAAAGTATGGCCTCCGTCTTGGAACGTTAAAGGGCGAATTATTTAGAATGCTTAATGAGCAAGGCAATAATGGCTTGGAAATATCTGAGTTAGCCAATGCTCCAGAGGTAAGTTTTTGTGATTATTATCAGCTTCTACTTGTCAATTAAGTGGTTCAGTTGGACAAAATTGATAGGTCGTTTGCTTGTACTGTTCGGCTGCTTTCTGATATCCTAAAATGATATCTAATGGAATATGCTGATGCCGTGTGGTTTTGTAGGTTGCAGTGTTGAATCTTGCAACTGCACAAGAAGAACGAGAGAATTCAATATGTTCAACTTTGGCAAGTGATATTACATTATTTGAAAAGATATCAGAATCAACTTATCGTGTACGTGTTAATTGTTTCTCTGAGGACCCTGACAAGAGCCAGTCTGATTCGGACGTGTCTGGGAGTGTTGATGATGAAGATTGCTCGAGTAGTTCTGGTGATGAGGTTGAACGTGTTTCAGAAAATCCTGCACTTCGAAAAGTTAAGTACAGGAAAAGGCAGAGGCATAAAAGTAAAATGCGGGAAGTATATAGTGAGATCGATGAAAGCCATCCCGGAGAACCATGGCTGTTGGGGCTAATGGAAGGGGAATATTCAGACCTAAGCATTGAAGAGAAGTTAGATGTTCTTGTGGCTTTGATTGATCTTCTTAGCTCTGGTTCCACTATCAGAATGGAGGTAATCCCCATACTATCTAGACCAAATTTTCAACTGAGTCTCCTAGTAAACTTGATGTTAAATTGCTCCATCATTGCATCTCTACAAAAGCTTGGGCAGATTGATTTCTGACCCCTGTGATTTTGGCTGCTCCTTGACTAATGATTGTTTCTGTATATGAACTTAAAACTTGACAACCTTCCCTTAAAACTATAAAAATGATATTTCTTTTTGACAGTTTTGTTACAGCTATGTATATCTGCTACGTAGTGCTAATATATTTTTAACAACAGGATATACCGAGAGCTATGGTTGACTGTGCCCCTAGTATCTATAGTCATGGTTCTGGTGGAAAAATTAAGAGATCCTCCTTTAATCAGTACAGACGTGGATCATGGGTCCATGGAGGAGAGCTTCATGGAACTCAAGCG